TTGAGGCTAAAACAAGCCTCCCCTTTTAATTAAAATTTATGGTTACTTCCAATTTATTCCAGCAACTTCAAAAGACATTGGGGAAAGACTAAAAGGAGTATTGAAGGTGTGAAGGGTGAGGGAAAAGTACCAGCCTCCTCACCTCACCTCAGACAAAGAGGAATTGAATAGAGCCAGATTAAAAGGAGAAAAAAAGGGAAAAAAACTTGCTTTCAGTTCTTTGAATTTTCTTTTCTTTTTCTTCCGTGGCTTTAGTTGTTATCAGATAAACTAGCCAACCGGAGGTTTACAAAGTTTTTCAATGTTGTCTTGTTAAAGATTATTTATACTTCTACACATCAACACAAAGCACTACCAGACATTGTCTGACAAGGTTAAACTTAACAGCTACTTGAAGTTTCATAACATCCCAATTGTTCAAAACACATTGCAGAGGAGTACATTTTGATTTGTTTCTTTAAATTCCTCTGACGATTCCCCATATATATTTTTTCTACTTCAAGATTGTTCCTCTAATATTTTCCTTATGGGGGTGTATGATGGCCATAAGGAGGCAAAAGAATTAGCCTCTTCAGAAGGAGCTGAAAATCCAATTAAAGATGCTTTCGGAGGCACAGTTTTTACTTGATCCTAATCAGGTGTGGGGCTTGTAGTTAATTGTTGCCTTTCATTTAAGCCAAATTTTTCCACTGCTTGATGGCACTGATGCCATTGATGCAATATCTATAATGGAGCCCGAGATTCAAGATGTAAAGTATGCCCTATCTTTTCCCAATCTCGTAACCTAAGTGTCCAGCACTTAGAATATCAAGGGGAATGTTTCCAGCTTCCTTATGTCTGCCTCAGGCTCTGTCACGCCTGATTTATGTAGCAGGAATCTGAGTTCCTGTACCTGTTTCTGCTGGTGCTGAGATAACCTGCGACCCATACTTACCACTGAGAGGTCCCGTAGGACGAAAGTGCACTTAGGGGTCAATTCCAGACGATAGTAAATATGTTGGCTGTCGCTCTTCCCCAAAGGGGGGGCTATCCCGGTTGCTCCATGGGGGGCTGTCCCTGTTCATGGGCCAGATGTAAGACGCTAAGAAAAAGACGCAGGCATGTCTTGAGCAGAGGTTTGAAGCTGCAGGACACAGCTTGACAAACTCTGAATTTATTGCTTCTTATATACTTGTTACATACATAGGCTTTACCATTAAATGCTGACAAAGGTTTCTTCATTGGAAAATGTCTTCATGTAAGCAACTATTTTCTAGTAATACATTACATGGTTAAAGACCAGGTAAAGAGCAAACAGGAGAAGGAACTAACAAAGGCAGGAAGAGATAGGAAGTAACTTAAACATAATATCTATTTAGGTAGGTAAGGCATTAAGTCAAAAGGGTATGACCTTCTGGCTGCTTCATTAGGACAAAGGGTATCAAAAGGTTATGAGATTTGTGGGGGGGGGGAAGCATGGCAGTTTGCTGTGCGTGCATTTTTCCCCACACTTTCTAACAGTGAGAACAATTAACCAGTGGGACAGCTTGCCTTCAGAAGTTGTGGGTGCGTTATCACTGGAGGTTTTTTAAGAAGACACTGGACAATCACTTATTTGAAATTGTAGTGTCTCCTGCTTGAGTAGGGGGTTGGATTAGAAGATTTCCAAGATCCCTTCCAGATCTATTCTGCTTTGTAAGCTCTTTGCAGACCATGGCTTTTGCCATAGGTAATGTCAGACAAATTCTACTACCACAACTGAACTTTATATAGGTTGATCAGAGTCACTTTAATTGATGGCAAGTGTGCACTAATTACTATTTAACATCAGTGTGAGTATGATTGGTTAATTCTGCACACAGCCACCTCCCTACTTTTAAGAGGGTGTGCATTTTTTGTTATCTTTCCAGTTTGTTTTTCAGTTGAATTGTATAGCTTATATATTATATTAAAGGTAGAGAAAAAACTGAAGTTATTTAATCTATCTTAATTTTTATATACAATTCATAAACTTGGCATTTTAACAGGGGTATGAAGATGTTTTATATCCACTGTATCTCTTATATCCTCAAATTTGAAGATGGTAGATATCCTCTAAGATGACTTGAGAATTGAGTACTGAGTTTAGCATATTCTAAAGTCAATCTACATAACACCATCACTACTTCTACAATGAAGTAAATGGTGAAGCAACAGCAGTGGGCATAATAGTAATTCCCAAATGCATGTCTGGATTAAAATGTTTTAAAGACCTGAAAAGGCTGAAGACTATGGCTCAAACATTGATGATCATGAAATCATTTTCCCTTTATGAAAAAAAAGATTTTCAGAAACAAGTTAAAGATGGCTCATTCATCTCTTCTAAGTACAACCACCTCTGCTGACTAAAGAACAAGCATTAAATGAAATCTTGCACCAAAAATACTATCTCGTGGATTCTACAAAATGTCTATCAATTTGTAGGGGGAGTAGAAGGAAAAAAGGAGACATTTTTACACTATTTTAACTATACTTTCTTTCATTATGCTCTTGGGTTAACACTGGGATGATTGCCAGTCTCTCAGTTTATTGTCGTTAACAACAGGTCCATGAGGAGGATGTTCTGGGAGCCAAAGTCTTCCCCACACTTCCTTGCTGTTTGTGTGTGTATATGTGTGAATGTGAGGGTGAAACTTCAAAGTAACGCCCTTTCCCTCAATGCATTTGTGAAGGTGAAACATGTTTTAATCGAGGCTTCATTAAATCCCAGTATTTCCATTGCATTTGCCAATCTGCAACTTCTATAATAATGCAATTACAATGGCTTTTAATTAAGTAGACTTTAATGATTCCTATTCCTATTCAAGATAAAAACCTAGGAACACACTGTCCCCTATTCCTAAATAAATGTCCCATTATTTACATGTTGACAAACAGCAATGAAACATTTTGAAGAAATGGAAAATAGAAAAGGTATGCAATTGCAACTCTAGTCATTAGTTTCCAAAACAATTTTTCTATATTTTTTATTCTCTGTGAAAAGGTTATAAAAATGTGATGCAAAATTGATGTAAAAGAACCTTTATTTATTTTTATTTATTTATTTATGAGACTTATATACCGCTTTAAGTGCAAGCACTCTCTAAGCGGTGTACACCAGTAAGCAATGTATATATATATTTACATTGCCCCCAACAATCTGGGTCCTCATTTTACCTACCTCGGAAGGATGGAAGGCTGAGTCAACCTTGACCGGTGAGATTTGAACCGCTGACCTGCTGAACACAGTCAGCTAAAGTGGCCTGCAGTACTGCACTCTAACTGCTGCGCCACCTCGGCTCATTACTCTCTCTTGCTGTATGTTAAGTTTCTTTTTTTTCAGTCATTGCTTTTCTCTTCATTTTACTGTTTCTCACTATTAAAATGTGAGCTGCCCAGAATTGTCTGAGAGTTATATGGCCTCTAAAACTAATAAAATAAAATAGATATGCGCAAGTTTAAAAAAACAATATTTGGGAGACAGTGGTATTTAAGGCAGGGAGCACAATTTGCATTCAAAATAGCAATGAGCAAAGTACTTAAATACTTTGCCAATATTCTTGAGCATCAACTTTGTTACATTTTAATTTTAACAATGTATTCAACTAAACTATATTTACAACCTGATGAAGATGAACCACAAAGCAAGGTATGTTTTTATCATTGGGCTGACTTGGGGTAAAGATACTGTAAGCACTAAATAATATTGCTTCAGCTATTATGTTCAAATACACATTCACTAAATTTTATTTACAAAGTAACTGCCACTCAGAGATGTAAAATAAAAATGGACCACAAAAACCTAAAGCCCTGATTTTATTTAAAAAGCAAAAGATACTTAAGATCTGAGATTTAAATATGTCCTCAGAGATAGAATTGCCACGAGTCTAAGAAGCTATCTGCAAAACTCCATAAATCCAATCTTCATTAGAAAAAAAATCTGAATTTTAATTAAAAGTTTAAATAAAAAATAGTTTTTAACATTTGCAAACCATATGCTTGAGGAAACGAATCATGCATTAAGAGAGATAGCTGCCATGAACCCAATCTAGCAGTAAAAGTCACTGCACTCCCACAATTAATCAAGGAAGTTTCATTGGAAATGCTAGCTGCTTAACATGACACTACATGCCTCAATCAATGCTCAGATGTGAATTTGCATAGTTAAATGAATCAATGATCTTGCTCAAATAATCCAGTTCCTCATTTTTTTGACTCTTTATCAACTCTAGTTACAATTTCTCTCCAAACACAAGGAAATCAATAAATACCGTATTTTCCGGCGTATAAGACGATTTTCTAAACCATGAAAATCTTCTCAAAAGTTGGGGGTCGTCTTATATGCCCAGTCATCTTATACGCCAGAAAATATGGCTACCTAAAGAAACCAAAGAGGTTGGCCACAAATGGTTCAGTTATAAGAATTGGATTTGCAATCAAGAATTTTGCAAGTAGGGCCATTAGAGGAACAAGAAAAAGTAACATGGCATTTTGCTTAAAGGTCCAGAGGTAAAAAGCCCCACCTTAGCATATCAAAAAACAACCCCAGAAATTATTTCATTTTAAGCGCAGCAGCCCTTCGCGCCACGAAGTGGCGGTTTTCACCAGAAAAGGAGAAATATTTCCCAGGGCGGAATGGGACGAGGTAATCTGGCTGCCTTTATGTGCCCACTTCTTCTTGGGTGCCTTACTGCGGCTCACCCCAGGAGGGCCTTCTAGCTCCGCCTCTTTCTCCCCGGCGTTTTCCAGGGCTATTTGGCTGCAGAGGACATTTAAACGAGAATCCGGGCTGCCAATTCGCACGGCAACGTGTAGGCCACCTCGGACACAGGAAGGCGAGCCAGGAGGGAAAGGGAAGAGAAAGAGGAGAAAGGCGAGGTGCTGGCCAGCAAAAGTGTGGGGAACAGAGAGCCTCGCAGATGGAGCAAGCAAACTTACAAAAAGGGGAGCCTTCCCTTCCTCCCTCCCTCCCTCCCTCTCACACACACATACACACACACACACATACACACACTTTCTCTCCCTTCTCTCTCTCCCCAAAGGCACCAGAACGAAGTACGTGGGGGGAGGGGGTGCAGCCATGCAGCGAAGCCTGATCGGATTGTTATTAACTATGTCATTGGGGCAGGGGTGGCAGCCCCCCCTTTAAGTGTCCCATGCCAATATGCCAATAAAACAAGGCTTCTATTGCCCTGGAAACACTTCCACCCCCTGCCAGGGAATCCAGGCATCCAGGCCGCCGCTGCTCTTCTGCCTGATGGGGAATCCCACGAAGGAGCTGCAGGCGGGGAGGGAGGGCTGTCCCTGTCCTCCCTGCGGCAGGACAGGGACAGAAGTTATGGAGTACCCACAACTTCTGGAGGCAAGTTTTTTCTTTAGCAATAGGCACTGCTGTGGTAGAACCATTAAATATTGTTCCAATTCAGCATGCAGTTTTTTTTCCCTGTCACTTTTAAGATTAAATGCAAATAAAAGGGGCAATACAAGATGATATTAAAAAAACTATATAAAACCTGTGTCAAAGAGTCACCCATTTTTAGAAAATATTATTTTTTTTAACTGGGATTTTGTGGTTACCTTGTTTCCTTTTTCCTAAAAAGCATTAATTGCATTAGAAATTGAAACTATGGTGAAAAAGTATATTTCAAAATTCCCAAAAAATAATAGCTATAATAAAATTGCATGGCTGGTGGTCAGTATATACCTTTTAAATTACCGTATTTTCCGGCATATAAGATGACTTTCTAAACCATGAAAATCTTCTCAAAAGTTGGGGGTCTTCTTATACGCCCAGTCGTCTTATACGCCGGAATATACGGTAGCTTTGTTAAAATAAAAAAAAAAAAACATGTAAAAGTAGAATTTAGGCTATTTCATTTTTGTTTTTTTCATTTTCCAGTAAATGACAAAAATTGGATTCTTCTACTTCACTTGATTTTCCCTTAGGGTCAAAATAACCCATTTCCTGGATTTCCAGAGGCATTTTCTTCTTCACAAATGCCTGGTTAATTTCAGCAAGTGTTTTCGTTTTTGTTTCGGGTAAAACACAAAAAAGGAAAGTGGCTCCAGCAAGACAGATGGCAGCAAAAACCAGGAAACAGTATGTTTGTAATCTTTCCTGAAAACACAAAGCAAAATGAAACCTGGATTATCAGGATCCCTATCACAGATATCAAGCCAGTCTCAATCTACAAATGTAACAGAAAGAACATCTTTCTTTGACTAACACGTGCTTTCTATTAACAGCATTTCATAATATGCTTTGAAGCCTGACACCATATTTCGATCTCTCTGGTTTACAAACAACAAAAACATGTAAAAAACCATCCAGCTATTTTGGACTATCCCCACATATTCTTAACCATTACCTCTCATGATATTCTGTTAAAACTGTGCTATTTAATTACATAGAAAATTATGTAGAATCAGAACTATTTTTCATGGTAATAAAAATTAGGGTGAAAAATAAAGGGGTACAAGTTCTAGTTACCAAAGCTTTATTTAAATATAAGGAAAAATTTCCTAAAGGTAAGAGCTGTATAAGTTACCAAGGGAGTTTGTGGTTTCTCATTTTTGATGTTTTTAAAAGGAGGTTCAGCCCTTGTGTGTTTTTTGTTTTGCAAATTAGTACTTCTTTATTAAGTTGCCTCAAAAATAGGAACAGATCAACATGCTCTATCTCTGTTCAGAGCCTTGTCTTTTCCTGTGTATTTTTCAATTAATTCTTCTATTATTTTTTTATTTAAATTGCCCTATGTTTTTATTTTTATATCCCTGGTCCATGATGGTTTGCATGCAATAAAGCTATTCTTTTTTATATAAAAAAATAAATACATTCTTTTTAAAATAAAAATATTTAAATATTTTAAAATTATATTTTATCCTATTTATCTCTTATGAGATTGGTCTATCTCGAGGGGGGATCAATTTCTCTAGCCACATATTTCAATACTATAAGGCCAACAGGTGGTACTATGAAATTTATTTCTTTTTTATCATTTTTTCTTTTATTTGGCAGTAAGACACACAGGATAGAGCAGAGGTCCCCAACCTTTTGGGCACCAGGGACCGATTCCGTGGATAGAGGTTTTTCCATGGGTGCATGGTTTCGTGTGCTGCCTACATCTCATGGGTGGGGCTTTGCTTGTTTGTGCAGGCCAGTTGCTGGCATGCTGCAGCCCAGTACTAGTCCACGGACCAGGGATTGGGGGCCCCTGGGATAGACCTCATAAGCCAGGTTTAAGCAGGAAAAATGTCAGATAAAGGCAACACCCCCTGGACTGGAAATAGAGAAGTTTACAGTTTCCAATCTTTCATCCCGAAGGCTCAGCTCGGCTACTATAATTCTATATACATATTATGATAAAAACCAGAAAGTCAAGTAACCCCAAAATAGGGTATTTATCCAGAACTAGCAATAATAATTAAATAACAATGGAAAGGAGAATATAGATTAAACATTTTTTAAGATTACATTTTAGAAAAATAGGTTTGGAAGGCATGATGAGAAAGAAAAAGGGGCAAGTAATAATGGTCAGATTTGAGGGCAGGCCTGTCAGTTGCCCCTTCCCTTTCCCAAGAGTGAGATTTTTACACTCATTTGCACCAGTAGGCAGTGGGGTACCACAAGGTTCCATCTTAGGCCCAGTACGCTACAATATCTTCATTAATGACTTAGTTGAAGGAATTGAATGACAGATGAGGGAATTGAAGGGGAACTCATCAAATTTGCAGACGACACCAAACTGACAGGAGTAGCCAACACCCCAGAAGACAAACTCAGGATCCAAAAAGATCTTGACAAACTCGAACAATGGGCCCTATTCAACAAAATGAGTTTCAATGTGGAGAAAAGCAAAGTCTTACACTTAGGCAGGAAAAATCAAAGGCACGAATACAGATTGGGTGAGACCTGGCTTAAAAACAGTAACTGTGAGAAGGACCTTGTAGTCCTAGTGGACAATCACTTGACTATGAGCCAGCAGTGTGCAGCAGCAACCAAAAAAACTAATACAATCCTGGGTTGTATAAACAGAGGCATACAATCAAGATCACATGAAGTACTAGTACCACTTTACAAAGCCCTAGTAAGACCACACCTGAAATACTGCAGCCAATTTTGGTCACCATATCACAAAAAAGATGTTGAGAGTTTGGGAAAAAATCAGAGAAAAGCAACTAAGATGATCAAAGGTCTGGAGGCTAAAACATACAAAGAACGGCTATAGGACTTGGGTTTGGCTAGTCCAGGGGTAGGCAACCCAAAACCCTCAAAGAGCCATTTGGACCCGTTTCCCAATGAAAACAACCTGGGGAGCCGCAAAACCCTTTTGATATCTAAAATGAAGGTAACACTGCATATATCCTTTTTTACCTTTAGTGTGTGCATGTGTGTGTGTGTGTGTGTGTGTGTGTGTGTGTACAGGGCTTTTTTTGTCATAAAACGCCCAGAACAGAGTTCTGGCACATTTTTGGGATGGAACCTTGTAGGGTAGGCAAGGCGGGTTGTATGACGTGTGTGAGTTCTGGCACATTATTTTTTTTTACAAAATAATTACCTTTATTTTATAAAATAAAGGTTAAAAAAGGATATGTGCAGTGTTATCTTCATTTTAGATGTCAAAAGGGTCTCTCTCTGTCTGTCTCTCTCTCTTTCCTCTCTCTTTTTCTCCCTTTCCTCTTCCTCTCCCTTTTTCTCTCTTTCCTCTCTCCCTCTTTCTCTCTCCTCTTTTTCTCTTTCCTCTGTCTTTTTCTGGCTCCTCTTCTTCTCACTCTTTCTTTCCTCTCTCTCTCTCTCTTTCCCTCTCTCTCTTTCCCTCTCTCTTTCTTTCACTTTCCTCTTTTTCTCTTTCCTCTTCTCCTCTCTTTCTCTTTCCTCTCTCTTTCTCTTTTTCCTCTCCCTCTCTTTCTCTCTTTCCTCTTTCTCTCTTTCCTCTCTCTTTCCTATCTCTTTTTCCTCTCTCTCTCTTTCTCTTTCCCCTCTCTCTTTCCTATCTCTCTCTCTCTCTCTCTCCAGGTGAGGAGAAAGAGAGAGAACGAAAGGCAGACGGCACTGAAGGGGCGGGGAGGGGGAGCAGGACAGGAGGCAGCGGCTCTGGTGGTGGCATGGCAGCGGCCACTGCAGCATCATCAGGGGTCCCCACCACTGCCAGCCTGGCTGCTGCCCCCGTCACATCCTCAGCCATTTCATCATCGCAAGAGGAAGGGCGCCAAGGGGACACTGCAGTGCGGGTGCATCATGGGCGGCTGCACCAGCAAAGGGGAGTGCCGCTGTGGGGATGAGGGGGGTTGTGACCTCGTAGCCCAAGGTCTCCTTCTCCTGCAGCACCAAGGGCGGCAGCGGCAGCTCCCCAAAAGCGACCAAGGAAGGCAGCACCGATGGGGCTGAGGTGGGGCTGGGCAGTGGAGAGCCTGGCGGCAGCGGCAGCAGCAGGAGGATGGCGAAGGGGCGCGGCTGCCCAGTTGCCGCCACCTCTCCAGCTTCGCTCAGCATGACTGGCAGTGGCAGTGGTGGAGGGTGGCGAAGGGCGGTGGGGGTGGCTTCCCAAAAGTGGCTGAGGAAGGCACCACCGGTGGGGCCGGGTGGTGGAGAGCCCTGCGGCAGCAGTGTGAGGAGGGCGAAGGGGCGCAGTTGCCCGGTTGCTGCTGCCTCTTCGGCCTCAGTGCAACCGGCAGCAGCAGCGGTGGCGGTGGGAGGGCGGCGGTGGCTCCCCGAAAGCGGCCAAGGAAGGCACCACTGATGGGGCCGAAGTGGGGCCGGGTGGCGGAGAGCCCTGTGGTAGCGGCAGCAGCGTGAGGAAGGCGAAGGGGCGCATCTGCCTGGTCACTGCCGCCTCTCCAGCCTCGCCCAGCGTGACAGGCAGAGGCGGAGGTGGCGACAGTGGGAGGATGGCCAAGAGGTGCCGTGTAGCAGGTGGGGAGAGGGCCGGGCAGGCGCCATGGGGGAATCTATCGAAAGAGGCCACAGAGATCCGCTGCCTGCGAGATGGCAGAAAGGCGTGGGTGAAGAGGGGAAGCTACCGAGACCCCCGGCGACCCCTCCGACTAACAGAGGTGGCGGCAGAGCAAGGTGAAGAGAGACCCACCAGGCAGGGAAGAGGCATCCTGAGACTGGCCACCCATGGCTCCTTACCCAGGTTCTGCCACCTTTCCAGCAATCCTCCCGGCTCTTCCTTCGCTGCCACCATGTGCAGTTTGAAGAAGAGGTTTGTGGGCAGTCTCATAAACCAAAGTTCAACCAATCCATTCAAACTTTGTGAGAAGTTTGAATGGATTGGTTGAACTTTTTTAGTCCCACTTTTTTTTTTCAGACTGCACATGGGGACTGAGGACAGGGAGGTGCAGGAGACAGCTGAAAGAGCTGCATACGGCTCCAGAGCTGTGGGTTGCCCACCCGTGGGCTAGTCTAAAGAAAAGAAGAAATAGGGGGGACATGATAGCAGTATTCCAGTATTTGAGGGGCTGCCACAAGGCAGAAGGGGTCAGGTTGTTCACCAGAGCACCAGAGGGAAGGACAAGAAACAATGGTTGGAAACGGATCATGGAGAGAAGCAACCTGGAATTAAGGAGAAACTTCCTGACAGTGAGGAGAATCAACCAATGGGACAGCTTACCCCCAGAAATTGTGGATGCTCCATCACTAGAGATTTTAAAGAAAAGACTAGACAATCATCTGTCCGAGATGCTGTAGGTTCTTCTGCTTGAGCAGGCGGCTGGACTAGAAGACCTCCAGAGTCTCTTCCAGCTCTCTTCTATTCTAAGCACCACTCAGGTGCAAATGACTGCTGAAAGGACTCTAAGCTTGTCCACCCCAAGGAAAAAAAAACCCAGACACAAACTTAGCAATGTGATATATGCAGTACAATGCAGTGAGACATGTACAGATTTGTACATTGGGGAAGCAAAACAACCACTTCATAAACACATGGCACAATATAGAACAAACCGATCAGGACAAGATTCAGCAGTCCATCTGCATTTAAAAGACAAAGTCCACATTTTGGACAGAGACAACAGCTGGTTTGAAAGAAGGGTCAAAGAAGATATCTATGTCAAAATTGAACAGTAAAGGGAGAGAGAGATGACATCCTGTTGGAATATTCATGAGCAGGAAGAGTC